TGGCACATGCCCGTAATCCCAGAGGCTCTGGAGGCTGAGGCAGGAGGATCGCGAGTTCAAAGCCAGCCTCAGCAAAAATGAGGTGCTAAGCAACTTAGTGAGACGCTATCTCTAAATAAAATACAAATTATTGCTGGGGATGTGGCTCAGTGGTCAAGTGCCCCTGAGTTCAATCCCTGGTACCAAAAAAAAAAAAAAAAAAAAAAAAGCTTTGCCTTGCTTTAGCTCTGAACCTGGACATCCTCATGTGGAGAGTGGAGGGTACCACTTCCTATTCTGCTCTTTCCCCGGCTTGGCCATGGCCATGGAGTTCAAACAGGGTATTGGGCAGGTTATAGATACCAAGAGACAATTTCTTCTCCTCTGAGAGATGCAGGCAGTTGGCACAGTGCTTTATTGCAGCCTCTCGAACAGAGCTCAAGAACAGTAAGTGCTATTTCTTCCTAGAAGGAGGTCTGAAGAAGTTAAGGAAACTTGGTGTGTGTGTGTGTGTGTGTGTGTGTGTGTGTGTGTGTGTGTAGGTGTGCCTTCTTTTTCCTGTGTGTCTCTGTCCTGGCATCCAAGCCAAGCAGATGGGTGGCACTGCAACAGAGGTAGTATTTCCTTCCCTCATTTTGCATTCTCTTATAATTTTACTTTTAATATCTTATTTTATTTTTTTGATTGGCACATAGCGTTTATACCTGTTTGTGAGGTATAGTGTGATGTTTCAATTGAGTAGTAATCAACTCAGGAAAACCCCATCCTTTTTCTCCACTATTCTCCCTGGGCTCTGGTAACCACCATTCTACTCTCAACTTTTGTGATCAACTTTTTTGGATTTCACTCTTTTGGTCTGATGAGACACCTGAAGCAGAGGTGCTCCCCTGTCACAAATAGGAGTTTCTGAGAGGTGGCCTGTGTTTATCTGAAGGGATTGTGGATGAGCTCTGTTTCACACACTCTGTGGAGCCGCTAGCCCGAGGTGCTGGTCGGAGAAACAGAGGCAGCAATTGGAATTTAGTTAGTACACGCTGCAGTGCGGCAGACAGGAGCCATGGCGACAGGAAGTGCACCTGCAATGGATGTTGGAGGCTCAGACGATAGGAAGACAAGGCAGAATAACAGCATGCCAGGTGGATTGTTGGGTTTTGCAGGAAAGGTGCAGCCCTGGGGTTAAGCATTGCACCTCATTGTCTTAGATAAGAATTTATCTTGGGAGGAGGAAAGAGAATGCTTGTCCTTAGGTAGAGCAGAGGGAAGAGTGGGGGGCTGGCAAGACATGGGATTGCTAAAATGGAGGGCTTTTTTTTTACTCTGCTTCTTAAGGAAATGCTGTATGTCTTTAGCCATTCTCTTACCAGTTTGGAGGAGATGGTCAGTGATTATTTAAAATGTATCAGAGAGGCAGCTTGCTTCTCAGCATATTTTTCATATAACCTTGGTGTTCAAGGTATACTTCCAATTCTTTTTTATTCTCATGGTTTGGTCTATGTACTTAGTTAACACAGAAAAATAATTATAACAGTTGAGAAAAGTGCATGCTGATTCCATGGTTTTGTGGACCATCACATCATCCCGTGCCCTTCAGGAAATCTCTTCATCTCTAGATGAAAATGCTCTAGAGATGTTCTAGAGACCTTTCAAGGAAAATAATGGGGAAAACACAGAATTCTACCCCAGCAATCTTTACTCCTGTGGGAGTGATGGGAAGTGACTCAGACCATCTGCCTTAATTTTCTTTACCTGTACAACAGGGATGTGAAGTGCTTTCTGAGTGTACCAGGTGTGATGCAGGCAGGATTTCAGGGTGACACTTGCTACCAGCATCAATTTCAGCATAGGATAGACAGGAACCTGCCTTGGCCTTGGAAAGTGCCTCTGATGTTGCTTACTGGTGAGGCTTTGCTTTGTAGGATGATCTTGCTTGGCTGAAGTCCTGGGAGGTCAAGGGGACAAGATCCCTCTAATCCTCTTGCTGAGCCTGCATAAAGGAGCCTGGAAGCTCTCTGGGCCCCGTGTTGGACCATGCCACAGTGCCTGTCTGCTTTAGGTCCAGAAGCAGCACTCCTGCTTTCTGCTCCAAAGAGCTGCAGCAGTCTGGCTGGACTCCTCAGTCTGCCTAGGACAACCTGGGATGTTCCTCCTCCCACAGCTGTGACTTCTGTCTGGTTGCTCCACCCCATCAGTCCCAAGTCACAGGTCTTTACAGTTATTAGAACCCTGGCTGTAGCTGGAGCCACTGGATGACAATTTGGTTGTCATAGCAAGTACTTGCCTGATTTTCTCTTCTGCCACAATTGATGTGTTGGGGTGTTCAAGGGCAGCAGACTGATGGAGCAGCAGGAAGCAGGAGCTGCCAGCCTGGCCCAGTTATTCACTGGTCATTGTTCCTATCTTGGCTCTGCCCTGTCTGCTGCCAGACTATCATTCACTTAATGATCAAGGCTTCATGGGGTCCTGGGACCCTAGGAGAGCTGTAGGGGATAGTTGTTTCTAACGCAGAGCAGAAAGAAAGTGATGCATTCCTGAAGGCTTTAAGCTCCTCAGGAGACTGCTGTCCTTACTAGGATCAGTTTCACTAATGAGCCACAGCGGCTGCAGTGGGGGTGGGGGGTGGGGGTGAGGAAAAGCAGACTTACTTGCGACTGTGACTGTCCAGGATGAGCTTCCAGATTTGGCAGCATCCGATAGGAAGGCTGCGTGTTGTTGGAATGTCTCTAGATGGGTCCTTCAGAAACGATGGCAGCTCAGGGAACTAACTTTGCAGTGGAAGGCTTTGAGCATTCTCCCTCTTTCTGCAAGATCCATATTAACCTACTGAGCGGTGAATTCCTTTCTGACCCCTATCCCTGGGAGCAAAAGGGAAGTCAGTATTTGCTTTTCCAACAAGGTCACGGATCACCTGACCAAGTCCTTGCACAGCTGGGAAGCAGAGGGCTGTACTGAACTCACAGRAATCTGCTGCCTTCCTGCAGCCCCAAGCTGGCTTTGAGGGAGGGAGAAGTCCTTCCCGCTCCAGGCTGTGCAGGGGGAGGATGCTGGGGAAGGTAATGTGCACACAAGCTTTCCCCCCAACTGTTCTTTCTTTTTTCGTGGAGCTCCAGATGCAGCTGCTGCAATGCAGGCAAAAAAATGACAGACACTTGCAGGAAAATGTGGGAATGGGGTTAATGAGATTGTGTTAATTTGTTCTTCACTGAGCATGAGTTATCTCCCTGTTTCTCGAGGCGGGAAGTGAACGCGCTGGAGAACTCGGTTGGCAAAAATCTTAGATTCTGCCCTCCTCTAGTGCAGGGGCTTCAACCATTTCAGTGACAAGCTGTCAGATGCCTCCTGCTTCTTAGCACAAAAACATTTCCATTTGGAGGTTTGGGGGTCCTGGGATGGGGAAAGCGAAGCTCCCATCATCTTGCCAGGATCGGTCCCAGGTATGGATGATTTTTTTTTTCTTCTCTCTTTTGGAAAGGGTGCTTTGTCTTTGCAAGCGATGGTGCAGGGATGGGTGGGTTGCTGTTGGGTGTACTACCTTGCTAAATATTTGACTTTGTGAGGTTGAATTCTCCAAGAATTCCCGTGGCAGTGAGGTTGTGTGTTGAGCCAAGCTCTCTTTTCAAGGAAATCCAAGGTGCTATTTATTTTGGCACGCAGCCTGCCCTGGGATGAAATACAGCATTTTTATTATTACAGAATAAAGAAGGGTTTGAAGAAAACAAAAATGCAGAACCAGCTTTTAGTTTTAGGACTAAGGAAGGGAAAATTTCTTTATGTTTGGATTTGAGGTTAGAAATGAGGTTGAAATGGCTCATGAAAGGAATAAATGGGGAAAGGGGGAGGGTGTGGGTAAATGCTGCCAGAGTTGGGCTGACGGGGAAATCCATGCTCTTGGGAAGGAGTGTGGACCTTTTGAAGATATCCCTAACATGGTCTGGTAGTTACACGAGGACCATAATTGCTGTTGGACAGTGACAGCCTTGATGGATTTGAATGGGCAGCCTGGGTCCCCACTGCTTCACTGCCCTATAGGATTTGAAAGATACCGCAGAATGATAGAGCCACATGAGGTGTCTAATTGACAGGGAAAGTTTGAGTTGGCCACTCACCTCTTTGTGCCCTAGTTTTTCTCTCTCTTTTTTTGGTGGTTACCAGGGATTGAACTCAGGGGCACTTGGCCACTGAGCCACATCTCCAACTCTATTTTATATTTTATTTAGAGACAGGGTCTCACTGAGTTGCTTAGCACCTCACTTTTTGCTGAGGCTGACTTTGAACTCATGATCCTCCTGTCTCAACCTCCCCAGCCACTAGGATTACAGGTGTGCAGCACCATGCCCAGCTTCCTAGTTTCTCATTTGTTAGTGGGCCCTATTTCTCAAGATGGTTTGTGTGAAGGTAAAATGAGAAATCATGCCCAAATACCTGATTCCCAGAGTAAGTGTTTAGCACCTGTTAATTTCCATTTGAAGTCAGGACATTTTGTTTCCTGTTCTTGTTTGTTCATTTAAAAACCATGCTGAGTTCATTTGTTCCTTTCAAAACGATGCCTGCCACATTTTACACCTGGGGACTTGGACAGGAATGAGTCTTGCAAGAATTCCGACCTTTGTAAGCTTACAGATGGCTAGGAGAGAAGAGCTAGAGAGAGAACACTACATAAATCTTGAGGATGATGAGCTAACGAGAAAGGCTGGAACCTGATTGGGGATCTTTGACCCTGGGATAGTCCACAAATCAATGAAAATTTACGTAATAACAGCAGGTTTTCACAGGTGCTGAACATTGGGGATGCAGCTTAACAGAACGAGGAAGAAATTGCTTTATGTCAGAGCCTTAAATGTCCCTGAGGGTTGCAAGTTTCCATTTTAATAGGGAATTCTGTTCAACAAAGCTATTTTCCTATTCTACTGTATAACAAAGTAGCATGTGTTGATGTGGCAATTATTCTTCTTTTCCAGTCACCTAACCACATCAAACGTCCACCCACTCCAAGGAATCTCCCTTCGCTAAACCCCAAGACATCTGCCATAAGGACCAGGGATGGAAGTGGAGAAGGCTGTGGAGGGAGGGAGCCGAGGGCGGGTGGAAGTGGTGAGTCGTGGGCAGGAAAGTCCCCTCCTTTCCTTCCTGTGTTTATAGAGGCCTTTAGAATGAAAAATCACTGAGTCCCTTCTTCAGGGAGCTGGGSTGCCAACCACATTTAAAATTTCTAGCTTTGAAATGATTAATATTAGCAAAATTCAAGACAGAGAGGGAAACCTAGAGGTCTCTACAAAGTTCTTTTGAGTGAAATTTGACCTAATGTGTGCTGAGTAATTATCCGTAGTCCTACTATCAGGTAGCGACGGGCAGGATTCTTAATTCTAGCCAAAGGCAGCCAGCCTGACTGATGTCCCCAAGGGGCTGGTGAGAATCTGTTCAGTCAGACATCCAGCTGCACCCAGGCGGCCCCCCTCTCAGGGTAGAGTGCTTGGTGTCCACCTTGGAGGAGCAGAGCTCTCCTTTGGCCCAGGAGGCTTTGTAAGAGAGACAGACGTTCTCCTCCTCAGGCCCACACATGTGGACCTGAGGGATTTTCATAAGCCGAGAAACATCTTCCCCTCAGGAGAACTCAGGACCAATCAGAGTGTCTTGAACAGGGCTGCCGCACAGGGCTGGACTTAGGCTTCCAAACCACTTCTGCTCTCAGCACAGGCTTGGAGTTGGCAAAGCCTGAGGCCACATTCTACTCCAATGCTTGTTGTTTGTTTTGTGACCTTGAGTGAGTGTGACCACTCTCAGCCTCAATTTCTTCTCTCTGAGGAATGGGAATAATAATAATTCCCTCAGGGTTATGGTGTGAAGATTTCAAGAGATTAACTGGGTATGTCATATGCTCCATCTACTCCCATGGCTCAGTAATGCTATGTGGTTGGAGGGAGAGAGGCCCAGAAGAAAGGGCAGAGGCTGTGATGATGGAAGGGCCAGGCATCACTCTTTTCTTCCCCAGGCTTCACCTGACTCTCCCGATCCTCYCCTAACTGATGGCATCTCCTGGCACAGACTGCAGGCCTGGCTGGGGGAGAGAGGCAGCTGAGTCCTCTACCTGGAGCCTTCCTAGGATCACATTCCCTCGGCCCAGGTTAGAACCCTCCATACCTCTCCACTCTCTGCCTTCTTCATGGCCACACTTAGCTCCCAGACCATCCATGCTCTCGCCTTCCTTATCCCCAACTTCTGGAATACTCCAGCTCCGCCACTCACAAGCACTTGCACGTCAGGTGCTGTGGCCTCAAGGTAAGCCAAGTAGCAATTGTTGCATTGCTTCTGCAAGGAGTGTCTCTGTCTCCACCCTGTGGAACTCCATCAGACCTGCACCAGGAAGAGCCCCTGTCGCAGCTGCATAGAAAATGGTTTGGAATAGTCTAGGCAGGACAGAGGGCATTGGGTTTGGAGGGAGAAGGCATGTTCACAGAAGGAAGCCATACCAAACATTTGGTTGGGCAAACTTTAGAATTTGTTTTAGTCAGCTTTTTTTTTTTGCTGCTGTCACTAGAAGACCTGACCAAGAACATTTGTAGAGGAGGAAGAGTTCATTTGAGGGCTCCTGGTTTCAGAGGTCTCAATCCATAAACAGCAGCCTCCATTCCTCAGGGTTCAAGGTCAGGCAGAACAACATGGTGGAAGAGTATGGTGGAAGAGTATGGCGGAGGGAAGCAGCTCACATGATGATCAGGAAGCGGGGGAGATCTCCACTTTCAGAAACAAAATAGGTATCCTAAAGGCATGTCCCAGTGACCCACCTCCTACWGCCACATCTACCTGCCTCCAGTTACCACTGTTAATCGCCATCAGGGGATTGATTCACTGATTGGGTTAAGGCTTTCCTAATCCAACCATTTTTCAGCTAAACCTTTTTGAGTTGTCTCACACATGAGCTTTTGGGGGAMCCTCACATCCAAACTATAACAGCATTTCTCTCTTGACAGGCCTGATATTTTTCTTCTCTGGTTACTTATTGGTTCCCTATTTTCCACCCTCTTCATGGATCTCTCTTCCTCTCAGTTCCACCAGCCCTTCCCTCATCAGCAGTCCACCTCTCTGGTCTGGATGTCATCGTTAAGCAATTTGGAATTCCTAAAACAGCCCTGCTTTCACTGCTGTGATATCACAGAAAATTCATTATTCTGATGTGTGTGGAGTTATAATCATAAAAAGCCAATTTCCTGGGTGATTTATTATAATGGGGGCAGGAGCGAGGTTGTTTACCATTTTAAGAGACAGTCCTAGGAATGGATTAAAACTTCTGGGAGAATTTATGGCCAAACCTCAAGGGACACTAATTCAGCCAGGTGATGTTCTACTTGGATAAATACTGATATCTTCTGACCACCTGGGTTGAACTTCCTCTGTTCAGCCCACAGTAAGAAATCACCCATATGTGTCAGCCCCTTGTCAGTACTTACAATTATCTCATCTTTGTCTTGTATTTGATTGGGGTGTTGCAGGTCATCAACRGGTATTCTTATTCTAACCTTTTCACAAAATGCATTGGAAGTCTCTTACCAGGTTATGGGTAGGTAAATGTCAACTGTTGATTTTATGGAATGAGCACTGTGCTGGTTGTGAGAAGTCTTGGGTCTGGTTCCAGCTCCTTCATTAATAGCGTGAGASACCTTGGACAGACCTTTTTCTCCTCAGCCTCAGTTTCCTTATCTCCCAAACTAGGGGGTTGGACCAAGTGCTCCTTCACTGTCAACCATTGCTCACAATCCACAAAGACACACCAGAACTGGGCTCTGCGAATGTGTTCAGGTTCTTTCTGTCCTTCCTCAGGGGTCTGTGAACCCTGGGAGAAAGGCAGAGACTGATGTTACTTTCTTTGATGCTGTGTTTCCTCAACTCTTAAATTTGAAGGAACTCTCCACCCTCTACCCTTCTTTCTTTCAGAACTCTCCAGGAATCTTACAGACTGAGCGAATGAAGAGTGCCTGAGAGGCGGAGAGTCACATTCCCTAAGATGGAGAAGACAGATGGTAGGCAGGGGGCTTACTATTCCCTGGTTTAAAGGGACACTTGGGTTGGAATGGGATAGTTACCATAAATCCTGCAAATAGCCTATGAGAGGCCTGTAGGAGACGTTCCCTAAACAGGCAGTGTGGGSAAGCCCAAATCATGTATTTCAGGTGTGAACTACAGAAGAATAGAGAATGAAAATGAAATCATAAAATACAAAATATTGGACCTGTGTAATTTTCAGAGCATTTTCTCATCTCATCCAAGCAACAGGAAGGGAGCAGGATACCCTCCTTCATTACCTTTGTTTTATAGATGAGGAATTTGAAGTCAAGAGGCACGTGGCAAAAGTGTCTCCATTCACAGCTTTGTGACTCTACAAATCATTTAATGTCTCTGAGCCTCAGTTCCCTTGTAGGCAAGGTAGTTTTGCCACTTAGTAAACCACTAAAATTTTTGTGATTTAAAGCCAGTTATTATTGCCACTTAGTAAACCACTAAAATTTTTGTGATTTAAAGCCAGTTATTATTTCTCAAAAGATTCTTTGGGTTGGCAGGCTTGTTATCCTGATCTGAAGCTGCCTAGGCACATTCACATGGTCTTCTGGGTGGCTTGGCTGGGTCGGACAGTTTGGAATAGCCTCATTCACATGTCTGATGGTTGAGCATGTCACCTGGGCTGTCAGTGATGGTTGGTGTTGGCCGGCTTGCTCAACTGTTGCTTATCATCCAGGAAGCTAGCTGGGGCCCATTCACACATGGTGGCAGAAGTGTTCAAACACAACAAGAAGAGACAAATCTCAGTGTACAACCAATGCTCATTCTGTGTATGCCACATTTGCCATTGCCCTCCTGGCCAATGCCAGTCACAGGCCCACCCTGTAGTCAGGGCAGTTGTTGGGTAGTACCAAGGCTGGGGTAATATTGTGGCTGTTTCTGTAAACTGTCTACCATACCCCCTCTATAAACAGGTATGAATACTATTTCCTAGGATTGGTAAAGAACTAAATGTGTTAATGCATRTAAAGTTGTTGAATAACAACTCTCAAGCACAGTGGATGTTTCGATACATATATCCCTCTTCCCCTTCCAAGAAACTTGCTGAAGGTCATAGTCTAGACTCTGATCTCCTGACTTCATATGAAATTCTTTTTCTGATCACCCAATGTTAGAAATAGGAGAGCCTGGAATCCCTGATGCATCACATGGCCCTTTTTGGCCCAGGACTTAGGGAGCAGACATCAGCTGCAGCCCTGCCTCGTGCCTTTTTCCAGATGCATTGCCATATATTTCAAGGGCCTACCTTTCTCCCCAGAGAGCTGTCTTTGCAGTGCATCACTGGAAGTGGTCCCAGAGAGCACCAGCTAATACCTTAGTGCCTGGGGGCCTGTCGTCCTGCCACCTGGCCTCGTTGTTCCCTGCTCAGCATTCTCAGCATCACCCATCTCCACAGGATTACCCACAGCAGCTCCCAAGAGGCGCCCCTCCCTGCATGCACAGCGTCTCAGAGTGAAGGCCAAGCAGGAAAGCCTCCCTGGCTGCCTTGGCCTTTTGAAGAGGCTGACTTAATTCCCRTTCTTTCTGGCTTTATTTTTAGCCATTTTTCTCTCCTGTTTCTGTTTTTCCCATTTCCTCCAGACACTGATTACAGACTTTTGAATGTTTCTTTCTCACTTTCAGTGCCTCTAATTGGTTTAGTCACCTGCTGAACTTTCTTTTGTCCCTSCAGATGATTCTGTGCTACTCCCTCCTTACCTTGTCCCTTCCCAGCCCTCTTCCTCTGCCTGTGTGTGACTCTGAGGCTGATGGCTGTGTTTCAGGTCCTTCTCAGACATCTACTCCTTGGCTTTGCTTTCAGAAAAAGACAGTTCCTGGTAGCTTCGAGCCTCCTGTAGCTTACTTTTTTCTTTTCCCCAAACTCATTTTTTTTTCTCCAGAATTATTTCCTTGGGCTCTCATTCCCTCCTGAGGCTGTAGTCCTCACAGAGTTAGGGAGAGAATCTTTAGCAAATCCTCCCCCACCCACCACTCCACCAACTTTAGGATGCTCATTGAGTACCTACTCTGTGCCATGAGCCTTAATATTGCAWSAACTCTAAGAATKATTATCTCCTCTTTATATATGGAGAAATTGAGGCATAGAGAAATGAAAWAMTTTGCCTAGAGCCTCACRGGTAGGAGATGACAGCCRGAATTCAAATCCAGCCAGCTAGCTGTGCTTGGCTTATCTGATCCAATTGTCATTTTGAGTACAGATGGTTCTCCTAATTAATTCTTGTCCTGGCCCCATGCCTGGAATTGTGAGCTCCTGCATACCTGTCACCAGGTAGAATTAACAGGAGTGGAGCATATGGTGAGGCTGGGTCTCCCTGCCTATCAGCTCAAGCTCCATCATTGAGGTCCAACATTCTGCCTGCACTGGGAAAAAGAAAAGGGCTGAAGAGTGGCAAGTGGCAGACAGGGCAGCGTAATGGACCACGAGTGAGATTGTGTGTGTGCGTGCGCACGCATGAGGATGGGTTTAAGAAAGTGCCTATTAAACCTCTCATCCATGATAACTGCTTACTCTCTGACTCCTTTGGTTCCCCTTGCCTCCCTGTGGAAGATTCTGCCTCTGAACCTGCTGTTTCTTACTTGATGCTATTATTGCATTTGTGTTCTGAACCTGCTCCCAGAGGCCTCTGGGCAAATCAGTGCATTTCTTCTGAACAGAGGCAATAAGGGTAAATAATGCAGACTCTCCTTTAGGAGAGGTCTTTACTTTCTGGGTCATAAATCTGCTTTCCACTTAACTTGAGACAAATGTCTCCTCTCTGATTTGGCCTGTCCTTGTACTCCAGGGGTCTTCTGAGTGAACCAAAGGACTTAAGAATATAGCTGAGTGTAATTGGAATCATTGCTCTCATTTACTGAAGCAGCCAGCCTGCTGCTTTGGGGTGGAAGGGAGATGTAGTTGGTATAAGAAAAACTATGTGGGTGAATGGGAAGTGATAGGGAGTTTTGGGGGGATGCTGGGAGAGTGTTTTCTCCTTATCTACCTGGAGGCCAGGCAGCTGCTACAGCAGTTCTGAAGCCCAACAGGAACCATGGTGTAGATCAGCAGCAACGCAATCCTGTTCCCTACCGTGCTTGTGACATAGTTGTCCACAGGCCTGTGGCTCTGTTCAGCAATGATGGCTGGCAGTTCATGTTCATGAGTTCAGTCTTCATATGTCTAGTTGGCTTTGTCTCATTTTTTTGGAGGTAACTATACTTCCCTAAGCACAGAGAGCCACCTGGCTAGCATGTGGCATTAGCCAGAAGAAGCAGCTATCAGGCAGGCACATGGGAAGAGCTCAGCCCTAATCTGTCATCATCCTCAGGGAAAATCAAGCCCCAGTGTGCCCCAGGTAGCACCATCATTTGCACCTTTTTTCATCTTGTCCCTTTCCCTCCATTACCTTTAGTTTCTCTGACCTTGACCACATCAGCAGTCTCCCAGCTGGTCCCTAGTTTAATACTTCTTCAGTTCTCTGAGTTGGCTGGGGGTATTACTCAGGAGCAGAGTACTTTTCCAGCATGCACAAGRTCATAGGTTCAATTCCTAGCAGCACAGAATAATAATAATAACAGTCCTCTGCAAGGTACTCCTTTTGAAATCACACTTGAATTAGTCTCCCCCTTGTTTAATCTTTTCTTGGAATGCTGGGGAATTAATTAATCCTAGGCCTCATGCATGCTGAGCTCGCACTCTACTACTGAGCTAAGTCCAGCCCCCTACTCTGTTGTTTAAAACCCTTCAGTGACTCCTGTTACCTAGAGAATAAGATCAAAACTTATTGACATGTATGTAGGTTGCTCCATGATCTGGTGCTTGCTTACCTTTCCAATTTTCTTTTTCTGCTCCTTGTTCTTCTCTTCCACACTTTAGGTTCTGGCCATATGAGCTGCATTTTGAGAGCCCTGGCACACTATGCAATTCCATGTCTCCATGTCTTTGCACATTCTGGTGTCTATCTAGAATATCTGTCTTGGCTATGTATTGGGGGATAACAATCTCCCCTAAAACTTGGTGGTTTACCACCATAATTTAATATTGATACAGATTCAACTGAGTATTTCTCACTTGGGTCCCTTCCAGTAGTTGAAGTCGGATGACAGCTAGTGACTTTTATTTATGTGTGTTTATTTATTTAGCAGTACTGGGGGCTGATCCCAGTCACACTTTATCACTGATATTTAGCCTCAGCCCTCTTTACACTTTTATTTTGRGATGGGGGTCTTGCTAAGTTGCTGAGGTTTGAACTTGCAGTCCTCCTGCCTCAGCTTCCTGAGTCACTGGGATTACAAACCTGTGCCATTTGTGCCCAGCTGAGTTGTTGACTGTTTTTCTCCGGCCTAGCACCTGGGCTAGGATGGCTGGAATCGCTGGGGGCTGGTGAGACATCACTCTTCCTTTCTCTGCAGGACCCTATTCCTTTGTGGGCTTCCTCACCACACAGCAGCCTAAGGGAATTTGGACTTACATGGCAGCCAACTTCCCATCAACTGGGCATCCTAAGAGACCCAGCATAGAATTCTCTTAGCATCATGTCTGCCATATTCTTTTGGTCAAAGCAGTCACAGTTCAGCCCAGATCCAAAGGCATGGAGAAACAGACTCCACCTCCCAATGTGGAATTTGCTTGCTTGTCTAAAGAGGGTAGGAATTGATGGTACCATCTGGAGATAAACTGGTATAATTCACCCTCCTATTCTCCTGATAAATTCCTGTTTGTTCATTTAACACCCAGTCCTGTGTCACTTTTGTGATTTCTACTCTCTCACCAAGGCAAAATTAGCTTCCATGTTTAAGAAAATAGTTTTTACAGAAATTGAAAAAATAAGTCAGGGAAGACTGTACCTTGTGCTTGATTTGTACCCCTCACCCTCCTATACCGTACRTGTGGCAGTGCTGCTACTGGATCCCATCAATCCTTGGAGGGCAAGGCAGCTATACCTGAGTCATCCTTATGCCCTTGAGACCTAGCTTAGCAACTGACACATGGGAGCTGAATAAATCGTGGCTGAGGGAAGTGAACTGAATTACTGCTGCTTTGTTGCTTTGCTGCTTTTTCCACACAGGGCCCCCTCCCCTTAGAGCCAGGGAATCAGACACAAAGAAGTTGTGGACCCAGAATRTGCAACAGTGAATCACATGGGTTGATTTCCATCCTGGGGCCTCAGATCTCAATATTTTGGTCTTCCACAAAGATAATTACTACTGAGCAGGTATCAGGTGTTTATCATGTGCTAGGCATTTTGTCAGGCACCTTATATTCATTATTAATTAATTAGGCCTCACAATAATGCTATATTACCTATTATTATTTCCACTTTACAGATGATGAGATGCAGCAAGGCTAGGAGCAGAGAAATAGATGGAGCTCCAGAATCTGTATTCTGAACCTCTTTTGAGCTCAGCTTTTTCAGAGTATGCTCAGCAGAATGTCAGAGGTAATAGTATCACATGAGGAATGCTGGAAGAACCCAGTCTTCTTCTGACTGGAAGAAGAGGATGCCTGGAGACAAGTTCCTAGGGACTCCAACAGTTGAAGGACTGACTTGTTCTTAGTGGCCTCTGTGGGGGCCAGTAGGTCGATGCTGCAAGGAGCCCAATGGCACCTAGGTGTAAAGTTCCCCATAGCATCCCCCATAGTTCAGGGTGCCTTAAAAGCCACAGGATCCACAGGGTCCATATCTCTTGGAGAATATTGGCCTGTGTCCCTTTTGACATTTGTTGGCCCTTCTCCCTCTCTGCCTTTTTTTCCAACCTGTGAAAAATGTATTCCCTTACAGGGCATGGTGTTTGAAAGTGGAATTCAGCTACGCATGATCACTTATTAAGCACTAAGCAGTTTTCAGGGGGAAAGAGCATTAGCTATGCAGGCTCACTTGTTGCAGTTCTCTCTGATCTTCTTGTAACTGGAGGCTCAGGCATGGGAGGAAGCTTCAATAATATAGAGGGCGTAACTCCTTGATACCTCCAGTGTAGCAAGATTTACTAGTTTCCATTTGAGTAATGCAAGTTTCTTTTTTATGCTGAGCAAATTGTGTATCTCATCTTTCAAAACCTTCCATATCCATAATTGCCAATTAGTCCCCGTGATGTGCCAGTTCCTGGCCACTTCATTTCAATGGTTACATGACTCCAACTTGGAAAAAAAGTATGAGATAATGTTGTTTCTCTGGTCTGCAGGCAGATTCCACAGCAACATCTGAGATGACATACTGCAAATTAAAAATCATTCCCTCTACCTGTTCCCTTGCAGGCACTGGCTAAATACACATTGCTTTAATAAGATGGTTTCCCAGTATAGCCACAAGGACTGTGAGCTTCTCAGCACAATTTAGAGGCTAGAACATTTGGGAGAAATCTCACGTGACATTGTCAAGTTGAAATCACAGATATTAAGTTTCATCACCCTGTAAATTTTGTTAACTTTTCTTCTCCTCCTTCTCCTCCTTCTCCTCCTCCTCCCCCTCCTCCCCTCCTCCTCCTCCTCCTTCTTCCTCTCAGCCAAAGACCAGATCTCTCGGGGGAATGAAGAGAAAGACCCTCCCAGGAGCCACCCGTACTCTGTGGAGACCCCATATGGCTTTCACTTGGACCTGGACTTCCTCAAGTATGTAGATGACATTGAGAAAGGGAACACCATCAAAAGGATTCCTATCCACAGAAGAGCCAAGCAGGCCAAGTTTAGCACGTTGCCCCGCAATTTCAGCCTTCCCGACAGTGGGGCTCGCCCCCATGTTACTATCCCCCAGCAAAACTGGTCTCCCGCAGTGCCAAGGAAGGTGTCACCCAGGACCCAGGAGCAAACCCAGTCACTGCTGCTAGGTGATCCTCCCCATGCCTCAGCCAGCGGGAGCCAGGTGAGCTATCATAGGAAGGCCCTATTGGCGGAGGCCTCCAGGCAGCTGGAGGCTGCTGCTCCAGAGGAAGCAGAGCTCGCTTCTGGGAGTGGGCGGCCCCAGCTTTTGAGAGCATCCAGCATGCCAGCCACGCTGCCGCAAAACAGGGCCTTGGAGGAGCCAAACCTAAGCGTGGGTCTTCCAGCACCTCCTGCCTTCCCTCCTCTGCAGGGGGACAGCAGTGTCTGGGATGTCACCTTTGGCCCAGCGGAAGGATTTGCAGGTTTTCACAGCTCCAGCCCTCGAGCATCCGCCCAACTGACAGTCAGCGATTTGGGAGACCTGGTGGCAGGGCTCCCAGAGCTGGTCCAGGAGGGGGCTGAGCCTGCAGTGGGGGAAGTGAAGGCTCCAAATCACCTGTTTCTCCCAGGGCCTCCTCCTGCATTCCAGAATGCACTCCTAGAGGATGTGGAAGGCGAACACCAAACCAGAGAAGCAGAGGGGGTTCTCACCCCTGGCTCCTCAACACCCAGCCCCCCACCTCTGCCATCTCCCATCCCTGAGAATGAGCTCCCTCTGGAGGAAATCGAGCTCAACATCAGTGAGATCCCACCCCCGCCGCCCATAGAGTTGGATGTGAGAAGCATTGGCATCCGGGTCACTGAGGAAAGCCTGGGCCTTGCCCTGGTGGACCCCAATAGCATCTCCACCCTAAAGGAGCAGGTCTCAGCCCTTGAGGGTGAATTGTCTGGCAGAACCAAGGAACTGACCCAGGTCCGAGCTGCCCTTCAGCAGCAGGAAGAGGAAATCAAGACGCGGGAGCGGAGGATTCGAGAGCTAGAGTGCACTGTAGCCCAGTTAGAAGAAAAGCTTAGCCAAGAGACGTCCAGAGATGCCCAGGGCCAGGCTGATGCCATGGTGAACACTGACCYTCCCCGTGGGCTCTTCCCAGGGGAGTCATGTGACAAGAGCATCGGGGTCAACCTTCTGAGCATCACAGACTCTGAAAGCTGGGGGGCCGGGGGAGAGGAGAATGGCTTCTTATGGGGGCAAAATGGTCACACTCAAGCGGGTCAGAGACTGGCAGAGACTGTGCTACCGCCCCAGCTCTCACTGCCACAGGGACCTGARAAGGTCCTTGCCTCCCCTTTACATTGCTGCCTCCCCACTGAACTCAGGATTGAAGAAGCAGGCTCTGAGCACCAGGGAGGCCTGCAGGCAGGAGGCGAGAGCCTGGCCAGGGCAGCACAAGGTTCTTCTCGGAGCAGTGACAGACAGGCTGCCCCAGGGGCCAGGGAGGAGCTCCCTGGGAAGGAGCACCCKGGAAGGCCACCAAGCTCTCCAACAGATGCCACCATTGGGCAATATGTGAAAAAGATCCAGGAGCTCCTGCAGGAGCAGTGGAGCTGCCTGGAGCATGGGTACCCGGAGCTGGCCAGCACCATCAAGCAGCCTGCCTCCAAGCTCAGCAGCATCCAGAGCCAGCTGCTCAGCTCCCTCAACCAGCTGCTGTCTGCCTACTCAGCCCAGGCTCCCCCACAGGAGCCTGCAGCCCCGCCCTCCTCCCCTCCAACTGGTAAATACTGGTGCCCAAGGCAGGGAACCTTTTCTCCTTTRTATGACAAATCCAAGGGAAAAGGGGTTTTGGTTACATGAGTAGATTTCTAAAAAGATTTTAGCACCTCCAGGAGCCTAGTGGAATAAAAACTGACCTGTGTAACCATGGGGGCCGCACCTCTACTCTCCTTGTGTAGGTGTGAGTCTGACTGCAGGGCCACCACATACAGCTGTACAGATAGTGTCAGCCACAAAGATGCCAGCCAGGGAGGGCAAATAGGA